TGGGGGGAGGGGAGATTGAGAGGGGGCAGAGGGAGGAATCTAGGGTTAGGGTTTCGGAGGAGGAGATGGCGGGAGATGGAGGAGGAACTGAGGAGGAAGCGCGTGGAAGCTTCCATGAATCGACGATAGAATAGATATGAAAATATTGGATGGAATCGACGTGACAAGATGTAGAAGTAGAACCCATAAGATTTGAGGGGCTACTGAGCATTTTCAAAGATTAGAGGGGCTAGTGAGCAAAGCTCACATAATAGTCCAGGTTGTTGCTAACAAAGAAATTCCAGTGTCTGAGTTCAATGCGAAGTTTAGAGTTATGTGTCAGTCAAAACGAAAATCAAAACAAAATAATGAATAATAACAAAGCCTACAAACAAAATTTCCATTTTTATAAGGTCATAATATCTTAAGTCCAACATAACAGATTCAGATACATACAATATCCAGTCTCCATTTAATAATTAAGTAATTTGCAGACTAGGTAACAGAGAGTAAAACATACCTGAGGGCTCATCTCTGCACAAGGTGCAGAGTCAATAACACATCCTCTAATCTTTTCAATTATACCATTCCTTGATTGGAGGTTCTGGAGGAGGACGCCATAACTACAAGAACAGTAATGTATCTCTTACTTACTTAATATCATAATGAAACCTAACATCCACAAAATTTCAATTTTTTTCACCAACAATTTTTCATCATATTAATGTTACGTCCAATAATATAATGATTATTTGCATAAAAAATGAAAATGAGGGGAGCAATGCACCTAAAAATCTTAGGGCATTTTTTGTCAATCACCAATATCAGAGGGATTTTCTATAATTTAGTCTACTGTTAATGAGCCAATACATCCATACAAAACTATCCATTCATACGAATCCAAATCTCAACTTTTTGTTCAAACATCTACATTGCCACCAAGAAATTTCCATCAAAATTATGATTTCAAAACCTCCAAATTTGAGCACTCGAGAAGGAACAAGAAAGTTTATTAACAATGACCCGACACATTCATATATAAACTACCCATTCGTATGAACCCAAATCTCAACTTTTTGTCCAATATCTAGATTGCCATGCACAAAATTTCATTCTTTAACAAGCATTTTAAACAACTTAGATAAAAAATCACCATTTCCAAAACTCCGAATTTGAGAACCCAGGAAGGAAAAAACTTACGCTAGCCACCCAGTGTTACTAAAGGTATGAAACACCAAATTCCTCTCCTTTCCATCCCTCCCCCCCTCCTCGCCCCACCTCGCCACCTCCTCGCTAACCCCTCGAGTACCTCTCCTCCACATCCTCCCCAAGTCGAACCCCACCGTCTCCTTCACCGGCACAACGAAGCTCACCGACTGAACCCTTCGCGGCCCCGTTACATCTCCGCGTTACCTACTCAGGTAGCTTCTCCTCCGCCCCCAGACCACCCCAAGAGCCCACCGTCAGTTCGCCGCGCGTTCGCCGACGACGAACCCTGAGATCGCCGCCTTCTGCGGCGGTTGACAAGCCGAGCGGGGAGGGGTATCCGTTGCGGAGTCGACGATGCGTGATGGGTTTTTGGGTTGAGGGGATCGCGAGGGGAGGAAGAGGGAGGCGAAGGGCTTGCAGGGTTTGAAGGGAGAGAGGAGGAGAGGAAGCGAGGGGGCGCAGGCGGCCGGTTGGCGGCGGGCGTGGCGCGAGGGGAGATTGAGAGGGGGCAGAGGGAGGAATCTAGGGTTAGGGTTTCGGAGGAGGAGATGGCGGGAGATGGAGGAGGAACTGAGGAGGAAGCGCGTGGAAGCTTCCATGAATCGACGATAGAATAGATATGAAAATATTGGATGGAATCGACGTGACAAGATGTAGAAGTAGAACCCATAAGATTTGAGGGGCTACTGAGCATTTTCAAAGATTAGAGGGGCTAGTGAGCACTTTCAAAGATTTGAGGGGCTAATATAGAATGTCTGAAATGTCTAAAATGTATTCGAGATGTGAGCGCCTTGCATCTAAAAACCCAACGTTTTCACCTTGCTTGGTGGACGAAGGTTAATGGATGGAGGTTAAAAGTAAATTTTTAATTTCATCTTGTTTGGGAGTTTTTTTTATGGGTTGGAGGACGGAATAGAAGGTTATATTTTCTTCTATTTCCCTCCCCTCCAATTTGGGGTAGAGGATGAAATGGAAACCAATGTAAAATTTTATAATGTGATGAGACAATTACACCCTTATGACATTAAAATCAATGGCTAATATATACTCACATTCAATATGTAAGAGTATTTATGTTACTTTATACATATTCACTCCACTTCATTCCTCTTTATTAGAGCTCTCAAACAAGGTAAAACAAATTTACTTACGTTCCCCTTACTAAACTTCCCGAAAACATTTTATCTTTTCACTTCATTATCTACTTTTCATTTCCATTATTTAACTTTCCGTCCCTTCCTTAGTAAACTTCCAACCAAAGCATTAAGGGTTTCTGAAACATAAGTCCGTTATATCTTCCATAATTATACAACACTCCCTCCAATTTGAAAATTACATCTTAGTCCCCCAAATCCTATAGGGCCTTCGCAAAATGGTACTTTCATATTTCCATCAAATCTAATGGTTAGAGATAAATTGATTGTTTTACTCCTCTACTAGTTTTTACACACGTGCAATGCACGTGATTTAATACCATGATTAAGTATTTTTGGCAGTTTGTGCTCATTTTTTTCTTTAAACTCTTACATCCCGATTATTTTTTTATGTTTGTTTAAATGGGATACACCCAATTTAAATTTTCATGTTAATATTTGAATTGACAAAAAACAAATATAATATAAAAATAATTTAAATTTTCATATTATTTTTGACCGATATGAAACTAAGCTTTATTTGAGAAAGTATAGCATTGCAAAGTGAAAAATATTAAAATAGTGTTATACAAGGAATGTGAATATTTAAAACCAATATGACAAAATGATTGATTTAAAGTATGTTAAAACGATGCAAAAGAGAATATAAAGTTTATTCCTAATCATTGATAGACTTCATAAAAAAATATAAATTAAAGATTAATGCTAACTCTAGTATACTTTTATATGATAAAAATATCCACATAAGAATATAAAAGTACTGAAAAAATTCATGAAACTCCCTTCTAAAGATTCCTAATTTCACTCAAAATAATTAAACTATTCTATAAAATATTCATAAAATATTATTTTTATTTCTTCTATTTTATTTTTTATTGAGTTAAGATCAATCCTTCTTCAGGTTTATCATTTATCATTTCTCGGACAATTCTAAAGTATTGTCTTCATCATCTACATCAATTATGACATCAGGCTAATTTTGTATTTTTTATGCTATTATCTTTCCTAGGCTCGTTAATTTTTTATCATCTCATTTAACTTTACAAAGAAGTCAAATGTACTTATGATGTTCAACACAAACTGCTCAAAATATAGACTTTGATTTTTTTTCTATTTCAATGAGAATAAATATTAATTTCATATATATAAAATTCTTTGTGTTCCTAATTTATTACTTAAATAAATTAGAAGCTATCTCTTTATTTTCCTCTAAAATGAATTCTTCTGATGTGCATCCAATAAGAATTTCTGTTATTTCAATAATATTACCTTTGCTCTATCCCTGTCATTTTCCATAAAGATCTAAACTAAATACCTGCATTATTCATTACCAATTTCTCTTAGATTATAATATTAATATTTAATTTGAAGAACACAGTATGGAATTTATGAATACTTACTAATTTTTCTTATGTCTTCCATGGAGATTTTTTCTTTGATTAGGATAAAGTTATTAAATTATTTTTTAATGTAACTCATTCAGTGCTTCATTAATAGATATGTCTTATGTTAATGCCAATTCAAGTGATTCATTGACGTTTTCTGAATTTTAGATTTATTTCCATCACTTTCCCATTTGCAATGGAAATAACTCAATTCTTTTAAGGTTATCTCTAAATATTCTAATAGTTTCTCCATATGTAATTCCTTGTATTCTTTTACCCTATAAATATTATTAACGTCAAAGATTAAAGTTTCTAAATTAAAATCAATTAATGCTAAGGTATAATATTATAGTGTTTTATCATTTCTATGGATTTAAACATCTATCAATTAATGTTACGAATGTATTTTGGCTACCCCAACTTATTACTAAAATTATATGAAATTACTTTAATTTATATAGTGCCGATAATTTTTAATCTATAATATTTTAAAAATTTTATCCATTAACCGGATGTTTTTAATCATTTCTTATTGTTTTTGTTTACCAGTATCAACTTAGACTATTCTTAGATGCTGAAAATGGATAGTAAATCCCTAAATTAGAAATTTTAATATATATATATATATGAAAAATACCAAACAATTACACTTTTCTTTGCCAAGTTTTAAAATTTTAGCCCATTTTTGTGGTTTTGAACTTTGAGGGTGTGATTTATAATTTTTCAAATTTTGAAAGAGTTTTTAAAAAAATTTACTTTTAAGTTTGGTAGTTGTAAATTCTATGTTTCATGTGTTGGTGGTAATTTTTTAAATGTTAGTATATTTCTTGTATCTCTAAAACTTTGAGGGTGTCTTTTGAAATTATTAAAACTATAGATTAATTTTGAAAAATATTAAATTTTAGCGGTCTACCAGTCGACGAATTTGATGTGTGCTAGTTAAAATTTTTGAAAATTTAGAGTTTTTTTACGATTTTTAAATTTTGAAGGAGTTTTTTAAAAATTTTGAGGTTAATTTTGGCAAATTTTAATTTTTTAGGTGTCTAAGGGTAATATCTTGAATTCATCTTATTTTATTTACAAATTTTAGAATTTTAGGGTGGCTTTTTATAATTTGAACTTTTGAAGGTGTTTCTATAATTTTTGAGATATTGATGGTGTTAATTAAAAAATTTAAATTTAAATGTCAAAAATTTTAGGTGTATCATGGTAATCTCTTGAATTCATCTGTGTTGTTTGTAAGTTTTAAAATTTTAGAATTTTAATGTGCTTGTCTGTAATTTAAACTTTTGAGGGTGTTTCTATAATTTTTGAGACATTGAGGTGTTAACTGTAAATTTTAAATTCTTTGCAAACTGATGTTAATTTTTTAATTTTATGTTTTTTATTTTAAGTTTTGAGACATTTGGATGAGTTTTATAATTTTAAACTTTTCAGGGTCTTTTCTGCAATTTTAAAAATTTTTATGGTTTTTTTATAATACTTCATGTATTATAATATGTTATCTACTTGTAATTTCTTTATCTTAACAAACTAATATCATTTTTATGTTTTATATATTTTATTAATATTAGTTTTTTTTAAATTGTTAAGCTAAACATGGTTCACATAGGATTAGGATAAGATATGATTATGATTAGGATAGATTAAGATATAAATAAAATATTCAAAATAGTGAAGGGTAATATTGACCATTGAAAATTAGAATTTGATTATAGATAAGGTAGTTCAAACTATAAAGGGGTATATTTGTCTAAAAAAGATTTTCCGAACTCGTGCTTTTAAATGGAGTATGATTATGACCCCAACCCATTTCTTATTGGGTTTAAATCCAATACGTGCTTAAAAAAAACTCAAAAAGTTATTTGAGTTGTTCTTCTTCAATGCTTAGAAAAAGATATTAACCTAAAATTGAGTTTCACAAAGAATTGAAGCATTAGGAAGGAATAGTTCGATGATTGTAAATATTGGTTAGGAGTTAGCCTAGTTATTTTTTTTAACTTAAAATATAAGGAGGAATTTTCAAACAGACCTGTTTTGAAATTTATTCTCAAAAAAAGTCTTGTTTCCAACTTAATTTTAAAAACCAACCCAGTTGATTGAAACTGGGTCGCTTTTTGAAAAAAAAAAGTTCACAAACTTCACGGGAGTCGAACTCCCGTGAAGTTTTTTCTCATAACAAAACTTCACGGGAGTTGAACTCCTGTGAAGTTTGTGAATTTTTTTTTAAAATCGACCCAGTTTCAGTCAACTAGATCGGTTTTTAAAATTAAGTTGGAAACAAATCTGTTTTTGGGAATAAATTTCAAAACATGTCTGTTTTGAAAATTTGTCCTAAAATCTAACGGAGCGACCAATTTGGAAAGTCCTGTAGGATCCAAGGAATTCATATGTAATTTTAAAGATTTGGGAGACTAATATGTAATTATCAAGTAATCAAGGGACTAAGAATTTTTTTTTTAAGGTCGTTTGATCCATCGTCATTATTCGTCAAGGAGGCGAGGGGTAATTTGGAAAATTTCCGTTTCCGCCGCGCCCTACCCCTCTCTCCAGCTACTGACAATGGAGGAAGACAAGAGCAGGATACTGGTGATCGGAGCAACGGGCCGTCTGGGCCGAGAGCTAGTGAAATCTAGCGTCGATTTGGGCCATCGAACCTTTGCTCTCATTAGAGAGCCCACTTTCAGCGATCCCAACAAATCCCAACTCCTCCAATCCTTCTCCCTCAATGGTGTCACCCTCCTCAAGGTAAAACATTTGGAGAAGAAAAATCAACTTTCAATTATTTTAAGTTAACTTTGATGTGATTTGAGGAAACCCCACTTGGAATCCAATTGATTCTAAGCAATAGGAGTTGAACTAGGCATACATTTAATTTCACCTAGTTTATGTAATTTTTTTCGCAAACCCATGTAAGCTCTGATTGAATCTAAGCAAAATATAATTTGGTTTCTGGTGATGATAATGTGCAAACTAGAAATATGTTTGCTTTCATTAGGAGAGCTCTAATCCTTCTCTCAATGGTGTCATTCTCCTCAGGGTAAATCTTTATTTATTAAAAGTTAGAAATTTCACTTGTGTTTGTTGAAAACCCCACTTGGGATCCAATTGATGCTACTTAAATTAGAAATTCATTTGATGTTAAAGTCCTTTTTTATGTGCATTTTTTGTAGTAAACCCATTTAAAGTATGATTTTGAGCAATAGAATTCGATTTACTGCGATGATTTGATCTGTATATTTGGCAGATAAAGAATTGTATTTGATCTACATTTTTGTACTTGCTGCAGACCAACTTAAGCCCCAACTGATTCTAAGCCGTCAACTTGATTGTTCCAGAGAACTTTTCTCCCCCCAGAAATGATGCATCAATTGAATTAGGAATATATTTGATATGGAAAATTTATTTCAAAATTTTCTTTTTTTAAAAGTAGAGCCCACTTAAGATCCTCATGTGCAATAGAACTTGGTTTTGCAGTATATAATGTTTCTTGTTTCTTTTGTGAAAAGTGCAATGCTTATTGCAGACCACTTAAGGATGGAAAAAGATGTGATTTTGTGAAAATGCATTCCAGTTCGGATTTAAATTTTCCCAATTACGTTAATGATTTTGCCCTGACATTATAAATCGGATAATAATATGGCATTTAGATGACAAAGACCCTATAAAAATCTAATCACTTTCAAGCAACAGAAATTAATATTTCATTGTGATACTTTTTTGGTTTAAGTTTTATTTTTATTTTTATGGGACAGGGATCTCTGAATGATTATTCAAGTCTGCTAGATGCTGTGAAGAGAGTGGATGCTGTGGTATGTGCTGTGCCGTCGAAGCATGTGCTTGACCAGAAGCTTCTCATTCAAGCTATAAAAGAAGCAGGTTGCATCAAGGTAAAATATCATTTCATAATGTGTGCATGAAGAAAGTATTTTTGTTATTCTAATTTTACATCATCTAATTAGCATATTTTCAGATTTTGACACTGCATGAAGCATAGTTTCAACGGCTATCATGTTGCATAATCTGTTGATTATATGTTCAGAGTTTGACACTACTCAATGTATGTTCTTTGGATTTCGTTCCGCAAGTATTTTAGACTATTTATGAATGATACATCATTCGCCACTTGTACTATGTCAGAGAAAGCTTGTAATCTTGATTGTGCCGGTTATTTAGAGCATGTTTGGAGCTTTGGATTATAGTTGACTTGGATTGTAATCCAAGTGGAATACAGTTTAGAGTGTATGGTAAATTTAGTAGATTATAATTCGTTTTCATTAGTAGAGTGTTTGGTAAGTGAGGGGGATTATAAGCTATCATTGTTGTCAAAATTTGTTTGATAAATTAGTAGATTATGATTAATTTTCAATAATAGAGTGTTTGGCAAATGGGTGGATTATAAGCCATCATTATTGTCAAAATGACCAGAAAGGACATGAGATTGGTGGTGAGTTATTAAGTGAGGTTTTGAATTTTGTGAAATCATAAGGGGGATAATTGTCTTTTACTTGGTTAAACCTCATGGGTTATAATCCACCAAAAAGATAAGCTAGGGTATCACGGCTTATTTTTTGGTGGATTGTAAGCCAAAATAACACATTTGACCATTTACCAAACATGCTATTAACCTGATCATCAATATCATGTCAAATTAATACAGAGGTTTATCCCCTCCGAATTTGGAGCTGATCCTGACAAAGTTCAAATTTGCAACATGGACTATGGCTTCTACGAGAAAAAAGCAGAAATCAGACGTCTTATAGAGACCGAACAAATTCCTTACACCTTTGTCTCTTGCAACCTTCTCATGAGAATTTTGCTACCGTCGCTTGTGCAACCAGGCGTGAACAGTCCTCCAAGAGACAAGCTACAAATCTTCGGTGATGGAAATACCAAAGGTCTCTCCAAAAATGTTTATATACCATTAGGATAATTTCACATGACTACCATGAACTTTGGGGTGTTTTGCACAAGACTACAAAATTACCATGGACTTTTTATGGGTTAATTGGGAATAGACCTCCTGTACTATGGGAGGATAGACCCCCTATAGTTCTATTGTTGCAGATAGATCCCTTGAGTGAATTTCTTTTGACTATTTTGCCCTCAGAGAAAGAGAAAATTGTTTTCTTGACATCTAGACCTTTTGATAGTAAAGAAGCCAAAAAATTTCAGTTAGGAGGTCTATCTGCAATAATAAAACTACAGAGATATACCCGCAATTGGGCGATAGCATAGGATGTCTATCCACAATCAACCCTTTTTTATTCCTGAAAACTATCATTGTATTTTCAAAATTTCAGATAATACCATGAACTATTGAAAATTGTTGTGCATGGCATTAACCTCATGGATAGGTCTGAATTACCCTTATTTTATGTCTATCAAACACATAACAATCATAAACATAATATAGAAGATATTAGATATGTGAAGGGCAAATTTGTCCATAACATGTCACATGCAGAATAAATGACAACTTACTCTAATTGCTGTCAGGAATGGTAGTTGAGGGAAATCAGTTCATAATATATTTCTCTAATGAAACAAGTTTATGTTGGTTTTGTGCAAGACAACCCAAACGTTTAATGGTAGTTTTGCGAAGTTTGCCCTATTTACTATCACATAAAGTTGCCTATTTCTCTTTGAAATATTTCATTCTATGTTAATGAATGGGATGTTTGCTGCAGCTGTTTTTGTCAAGGAATGTGATGTTGCTGCATATACAATTAGTACCATAGATGATTCTCGAACGCTGAACAAAGTATTATACCTGAGACCTCCTGGTAACGTCGTATCAATGAATGAATTAGCCGAGATGTGGGAATCTAAAATAGGGAAGAAGCTCGAGAAAGTCTACATATCCGAGCAACACCTTCTTAAGACTATCCAAGGTACATTCATGCTAAGCTCTCTCATGAAAAGTATATACACGTATCATATACTGTAAAGTTTGAATATACTTTGTTAAATTTCAGATACGGCATATCCAAGCAACATGGAGCTGATATTTATATATTCTATCTTCATAAAGGGTGATCACACGTATTTCAGCATCGAGTCGTGTGGCTTGGATGGAACCGAGCTCTATCCGCATGTGAAACACATCACTGTGAGCAAGTTTTTGGATACTCTGTTATAGTGTAAGTCTCCGTATCTGTTTCCTATCGGATACTGCAACGATATTGCAGCTTAGATATCAGTATTGGGGATCCTTAAGGCACATCATTGTTTTAGCATTGGTAAGGATTTTTTTTCGATGAGTTTTAGCTCTTTCTATGGAAAAGTGTGCAGTAACAGGGATTAATTCTATCTTTTGGAGAGATAATTCTATCTTTTGGGCGTAATTTGTGATTCCTCTATCTAAAGGATAAATTGGGGTAAATAAAGGTTAATTAGACTGAAATTAGGTTCATCCTCATTTCTAATTGGCTAATTTGCATTTAAATATCTTGAAGTTTTACCTCTTTTGCACTCATATATTCTATAAGTTGTACTTTTTACAGCGTTTTATACCATAAATTATTTTCCATTAATCATATCATATCATACTCCTTATAAAAGTGTGAGTTTGCAAAAAACTTTTCCTGAACAATATTACCCTTAACCCTTTTAAATATTAGATTTAATCCAAATCTATCATCAAATACAAATATCCTCATTATCCTAAAAATTTATTCTTATAAAACTGTGAGCTTGGGAAAACTTTTTATGGACGATATTACTCTTAACTCCATGTAAAAGTGTGAGTTTGGATTGACCAAAAAAAAAAAGTGTGAGTTTGGGAAAAACTTTTCGTGGATAATATCACCCTTAACTCTTTTAAATATTATATTTTTACCCAAATCTATCATCAAATACAAATATCCTAATTATCCTAAAAAAATTATCCTATAAAAGTGTCAGTTTGGGGAAACTTTTTGTGAACAATATTACCATTAACCCTTTTAAATACTATATTTTAACCCAAATCTATCATTAACTACAAATATCCTAATTATCCTAAAAAATTATTAAATATTTAACTTAATCCTAATCGTACACAGGAAATTCAAAAATTACCAGCACCCCTCCTAAAACTTTATAGTTTACAAAAGACAATGTTCAAATTTCAAAAATTACGAAAGACACCCTAAAATTTTTAAAATTGCAAAAAATCACCTTGGAATTTCAAAGCTTACAACCAACACGTATGAAATCTATAAATTACTAGCAGCCCCTTAAAATTTTAAGATTTGCAAAAAAAAACCTCCCTCAAAGTTTCAAAAATAAAAAAAATCCTCAAAATTTAAAATTGCAAAAATACCATGAAATTTCAAAAGTTACAACCAACATAGATGAAATCTGGAGAATACCATCAGCCCTCCATAAATAATTTGAAAATTTTAAGGGTGTTTTTAACAAATTTTAGAACTTATTGATGTTTTTGCAAATTTTGGATTTTCAAGGTGCTGATTGTAATATCCTGATTTCATGTGTGATAGTTGTAAGGTCTGATCACTACAAGAAGCGTTTCTAAAATTTTAGTAAGTTTATAAAACTTGAAAAGGAAGTATTAGTAGTTTTAGAAGTCAGATAAATGGTTTTGAGTACTATAGTCATATAATTTCTCTCTTTTAGCTTTCTTTGATTAGAGAAGAGAAATTTCCATTCAAGGAAACTTAATATCAAAGAAATTGTTTGAAGTAATGGATGAATCTAGGAGAATGGAAAGAAACGAAAGATGTTTGAAGTAATGGACGTGAAAAGTCCTAATTGATGCAGCCATCCAATTCGTAATGATTAGTAAATTTTTCTGTATATTTTTTATCATTTTAGTATCATATATAAAGATTTACATGTTATGAATTTTTCTCATTTTTTTCCATTTACATGTTATGAATTTATTTGTTTCAAAAAAAATCTTATGAAACCAATTAGGAAAAACGATAATATTAGAGTTAATGGGGCTAGGAGATCTAGATGTAAATCTAGAATGACTTGGTTAGAAACAATTAAGAAAGATATGATTAAGACTAACTTAACCGAGGAAATGACTCATAACAGAATGGAATGGAAAAATAGAATTCATGTAACCGACCCCAATCATTTGGGATAAAGGCTTGGTTGTTGTTGTTGTAAAAGAAATCTTATAAAAAAAAGGAGAAATCTTATGAACATTTTCTTCACTTTTATGAGTTTTTATTTATTTGATGTTTACTGTATTTTAAAGTTATGTTCATGAAGAATATAAGGTTATTTCCTTTTTTTTTTGGAATTGTCCTCCATATCTTTATAATCAAATAGTTTTTGATTTCTTTTGTCTGCCTTCTTGAGTATTTAATTCTCCCATTTGTAATTATGATATCAAGAAAACGTTGACTGTAGGCTGTCTAAAAATCACAATAAATAGCTTATCCCTCATCAAACACCGATGATGGAAGTTACAATCTGACGACTTCCAGAATGCTACAATTTGGAGACTTTCACGACAACCGATGAGAGCTCTAGTTCAACAGCATTCACAATCAACATCGGGAGTTACAATCTGACGACTCTCATATTCTCAAGGAGCCAAGACGAAGATTACAAGACAATGATCTTTGCAACGCTATGACAAAAGAGATTACTTGTTGATAATCTCTCCAAAGCAAGACGCGGAACTCATCACCGCGCTCTAAGACCAAAACGCGGAGGTCCTCCCCGTGTATCAACACCAAAACGCGGATGTCCTCCCCGTGTGTCAACAGTAAAACGCGAGGGTCGAACCCACGTTACAACATCAAAATGCTGGAGTCGGACCCGCATTACAACATCAAAACGCGAGGGTCGAACCCACGTTACAACATCAAAACGCTAGAGTCGGACCCGCGTTACAACATTAAAACGCTGGGGTCGGACCCGTGTTTTTCAATGCCCAGCAGGTACCCAACTCCGCGTCTCCAGTCTAAAATGCGGCGGAGTTAGGATCCTGAACGCCCACGTGGGCGTTTGACTCGTTCAAACACGAGCTGAACGGTTGTAGGAACCGTTTTCCCTCCATGATCTGAGGGATTTCTGCCCCACTTGGGAGCGGATTAAGGGGGGATACACCCCTCTCAATCCCATTATGGAGAGAATTAAGGGGGCGGTTACACCCCTTAATTCCCTATAAATATGGGTAAACTCAATGGAGTTCAGGCTGGCATTTTTCGGATCTGGGACTTGGCAGCGAGGGGTCGGTCGGTTGGAATTTCTTAGCTAGGATTGACCATTAGGCTTAGCAGCAATAGGAGAGATCCTTGGGCGAGCTTTTGAGGGGATCAGCATCATCCTCCAAAGAAGATCATCTTCAACGTTCGGCAACGAGAAGCTTCTTCATCCTTGGCTTATAACCGACATTCGGTTAAATCAACTCTTTTTCAAGAGTTTAAACTCGTTCAGAGTTATCAACTCGTTCAGAGTTTTAAAACTTGTCACGCAAGTTCTCCACAGCGTCGAATCGTGAGGAGAAGACATCGTTCCAGTGAAGCAAAACGGCGGATCGTCAACGGAGAGCAAACTTGACGCGAGCATTCGAGGGAGGCACTCCATCGCCACCGTGAAGAACCCAGTTTTAAATAAAGGGGAGAATCCAGATCATTCTCCTCTTTTTTGTAATCGGAATCCAAATTGTAATCGATTTTGAGAGAATACAAATCAATTTTTCTTTCATTTCTTTTACATCGAATTTTTCCACATTGACAAAATAGCGAAAGAAGAATTCTTTTTAGGAGTATCAAGATAAGAGATATATTTAAAGAACTTGAGAAATAGATATCCTGCATGCAATGGTATGTTTATGGTTGAATTCTCCCATTTGTAATTATGATATCAAGAAAACATTGAGAAAAATAGCAAAAGAATAATTCTTTTTCGGAGTATCAAGAAGAGATATATTTAAAGAAATTTGAGAAATAGATATCCTACGCAAAATGGTATGTTTATGGTTGGATTGAATCCTCAACTAAATTCATATGTTTAGTATCCACCACGTTAGTTGTTTGTGAAAAACTCTTCGTGGCTTCATTTTTTTTTCCAAACATATATAGAATATCATAATTACTACAATATTTATCAGCGTAAAATCTTTTTTTTAAGTTTGCTTCTTGGTCTCTCTAGACTTTGCTGCATAAGTAATTTAATCTAAAAAGCAAAAGTCCTAAGAATAAATGGTAGATTCACTCTTTTAACTTTTTGACCAAGTTATATAAGGTCTCTAATCTTGAAGCATAAGTGAACATAAGATGGATCCTGTACATATGCTAAGTGTGTTAAAACTTTATCTTTGAGCAAATAATTGTATACTTGCTGAATCATTCCTTAACCTGAAACCTCAGATCATGATGACTATAATGATGATGACTAGAGCATATGTTCTATTGATTCATTGTGATTTTCTCTATTATCTAGCAAATACACTTTCTTGAAGGTTTTTGTAGTAGTGAAGAGTATGCTTTATTAATTTCTGTACAAATCTTTATCTTTTGACAAACTACAAAGTCAATATTAATTATTGTTTCTATGTATATTAACAGAATCAAGTCAATATCTTTAAAATAGAAGAGCACATTCCATCCCTGATAGCAGAAAAACCAAATATATTGAGTGCTGAGCAAAGGAAAGTTTACATTCAGAGAGACTTGGATAATAGAAGAAAGCAAAAAAGTAATAATTCCACATACAGTATTACCAATGGCACAGGGCAATTCTTGATCTAGAGGACCATGTCTCATCCTTACCATTAAATTTTGATTTATAATTATTATCTATGTAAGTTTCAAACTAGAAACCATCATGGTACAAATAGAAGCATTCCCCCAATACGACACAAGTATACTTGCATAAGCCAATGCTCAGATGCAAGCAATTAGTTACATGCATTGCATCCTAAAATTCAATCTGACCCCTCATGCAATAATATTTCTCAGACAATAGTAACTTTATGTTTGTTTGATCTATTTTGAATGTACAGGGGCTCAACTCAAGTAAAAGAAGAGAGCCAGTTTTATGCTTTTTATCATATATTACTGTGCTTAAACCTTAGAATTTGCCTAGATCAGTCAATATAAAATAATAAGTTTATGCGTGTTTGGTCTACTTTGAATATGTAGGAGCTCACCTCAAGTAAAGAGAGAGTAAGTTTCATTCTTTTAATTACAATAATAATTTTATTTATATGTGCTCTGTTTTGAATGTGCACGAACTCTCCTCAAGTAAAGAGAGAGTAAATTTCATTCTCTTCAGACTTAGGATATATTTGGGTCAGTCAAAATTCTAAAACTGGTATTTGGTGGAATGTGCTCAAGAATAAAAAGAATCATTATTATCAGCATCAATA